CTCGGCCAAGAAAGAGGAGGAGCCCACGCCGGGCCTGGCCTGCTTCGGAGCCGCCTCTTCCCACCATTCCCTTCCCCTCGAGCGGAAGACGGTGACCGGGGGCCCGGCCACGCTGCTGCTGCTGCGCCACGGCTCGGGAGCGGTCCGGGGACGAGGCCGAAAGAAGGTGAGGGGTGGGCGGGAGAGGAGAAAAAGGGGTGGGGTGGGGGGGTCGTCAAGGGAGGGCGGCGAACCGGGGAAATCTTGGCTTCGGAAGCTCCGTTTAGCCAATGGAGAGGCAGGCAAGAAGGTCGCCGAGCGAGCAAGGAAAGGAGGGGGGGTGTGTGTGCGTGTGTGTGTGTGGGGGGGGGTACAGATTTATTAAGAGATTCAAGGAGCTCCTGGAGATTCAAGGAGCTGCTGCAGTGAAGCTCGCCCAGAAGCAAGCGAAAGATACTGTCGACCCGGTTGGACCCATTTTGGGGCCGATGGTTGGGGAAAACTATTTTTTTTAAATACTGTATCTGTTTTTATATTTGTGTTGTAAGCCGCCTAGAGTGGTCGCAATGACCAGATAGGCGGGGTATAAATGGAATAAATAAATAATAAATAAATGAATAAATGAGAGCTATGCGGTGGCCTCTTTCCCTTTCCGCACGCACGCACAGAGAGAGAGAGAGAGTTTGCGCCTTGTGAGTGCGCTATTTTTACGCGAGAGGCAGAAGTTCGGCTGGTGAAGCTTTTTGGGAGAGGCGTGCCTGTTTGTGTGTGTTATTTTGGACTCCAGCTCCCAGAATCTTGTGCTCCTCGGAGCCCTCTGGGAGTTGTAGTCCGAAAAAGATAGAGGGCAGAAGCAGGAAGACATTGCTGCCTCAGGGATATTACAGAGATCCTAAAATTCTCATTGCTTTTCCCACTTTGTCATCAGATTACAGGGCCATCTTGGCTTCTGTATTTTGAGTAACATGAAAGACGGGCGAGGAAGGGAAGAGAGCAGCAAGGAAAGGCAACAGACATAGACGTTTTTTGGGCAAAGAAAAAATGAGTTTGTTTTTAATGGGGGTTAAGAATTGCAAAATAGAAATATAAGAAATGCAAAATAGCAAGGATTGATGTGATATGGAACTGTACAACCAGAGTGTAGACTGTCTTCAGCGTTTTGGATATATGTATTGTCCCATCTCGCTCCCATCCGAAAACTTGAGATCGATTGGTCAAATGAGAGCTATGCGATGGCCTCTTTACCTTTCCGCACGCACGCACGCACACACAGAGTTTGCGCCTTGTGAGTATGCTATTTTTACGCGAGAGGCAGAAGTTCGGCTGGTGAAGCTTTTTGGGAGAGGCGTGCCTGTTTGTGTGTGTTATTTTGGACTCCAGCTCCCAGAATCTTGTGCTCCTCGGAGCCCTCTGGGAGTTGTAGTCCGAAAAAGATAAAGAGGCGGGCATCTCTGCTTTTTAATAAAACAGTTTGGAGGCATAAAGGGGGAAGCAGCCGTGCAGGTATCAATAGACAGAAAAGTCAAGATTTCAGTGGCAGAGCCTGACCCTACGTTTTCAATAATATGTCTTCAGGATGATATCTTTGTCTTCTTTTATTTGCCTGTTTATGTGGTGAGATTCCAGTGGGATTGAGCAGTTGTGAGGGCAGAAGCAGGAAGACATTGCTGCCTCAGGGATATTACAGAGATCCTAAAATTCTCATTGCTTTTCCCACTTTGTCATCAGATTACAGGGCCATCTTGGCTTCTGTATTTTGAGTAACATGAAAGACGGGCGAGGAAGGGAAGAGAGCAGCAAGGAAAGGCAACAGACATAGACGTTTTTTGGGCAAAGAAAAAATGAGTTTGTTTTTAATGGGGGTTAAGAATTGCAAAATAGAAATATAAGAAATGCAAAATAGCAAGGATTGATGTGATATGGAACTGTACAACCAGAGTGTAGACTGTCTTCAGCCTTTTGGATATATGTATTGTCCCATCTTGCTCCCATCCCAAATCTTGAGATCAGTTGGTCTAGTGGTTCCCAACTTGGGTCACCCAGGTGTCCTTGGACTGCAACTCCCAGAAACCTCAGGCAGCACAGCTGGCAACGAAGGCTTCTGGGAGCTGTAGTCCAACAACTGGGTGACCCAAAGTTGGGAACCCCCGGACTGAGCATAAATTTGGCTCAGGAATCTTGTTTGAAGTCCCCAAACTTGTAAAGTGATCTGAACAATATTCCTATAAACTGGGCTAGTTTTATTATCCCCAGGGATCCTCGAAATCCTGGTTGGGTTTTGTAATCAGTCACTTCTAGGCAAAGCATGGCCTCTGCAAATTCTACTGGGAGAAAGTACCATAAGAGCATCTCTAAGAAAAAATGAGTTTGTTTTTAATGGGGGTTAAAAAATGCAAAATAGAAATATAAGAAATGCAAAATAGCAAGGATTGATGTGATATGGAACTGTACAACCAGAGTGTAGACTGTCTTCAGCCTTTTGGATATATGTATTGTCCCATCTTGCTCCCATCCCAAATCTTGAGATCAGTTGGTCTAGTGGTTCCCAACTTGGGTCACCCAGGTGTCCTTGGACTGCAACTCCCAGAAACCTCAGGCAGCACAGCTGGCAACGAAGGCTTCTGGGAGCTGTAGTCCAACAACTGGGTGACCCAAAGTTGGGAACCCCCGGACTGAGCATAAATTTGGCTCAGGAATCTTGTTTGAAGTCCCCAAACTTGTAAAGTGATCTGAACAATATTCCTATAAACTGGGCTAGTTTTATTATCCCCAGGGATCCTCGAAATCCTGGTTGGGTTTTGTAATCAGTCACTTCTAGGCAAAGCATGGCCTCTGCAAATTCTACTGGGAGAAAGTACCATAAGAGCATCTCTCTTGTACTGTGTTTCCCCAAAAATAAGACAGGTCTTGCATTAATTTTTGTTCCAAAAATGCATTAGGGCATATTTTCAGGGGATGATTTTTTTTTTTTCATGTACAACAATCTACATTTATTCAAATACTGTACAGTCATATCATCTTCTGGTTGCTGCACAATGGTGGAAGATGGGGTTTCATTTAACTGGGGTTTATTTTGGTGGTAGGGCTCATATTACAAGCATCTTGAAACTATCATAAGGGCTTATTTTCGGGGAAACAGGGCACTTGCTACTTGGTGAGATGCTATCACCTACCAGCACGAGGATCTGTGTGCACTTATGCATTTATATGTTAGTAGCATCCCTCCCTCCCTGCCAAGCTAGGACCCTGCTATATGCTTACACAAGATGCAGCCTGATGCCATTTAGAAAGAAGTACCCTTCTGTGTTGCTGGTGGCTTTTAATGTATATCTTCCTTGTAAGTATGTTATAACTTTTGCAAATTCTGTGTCAGATGGGTCAGTCTTATTATCCCCAGAGGTAGATAGTAATCACTCACAGTATCATTTTTCCCCCTTACTCCTTCCTTGTGATGTATGCTAGACTGGGAGATGGTGACTAGATTGAAGACCTTCTAGAAATCTAGCTTTTTGGATGAGTAAAGATTTCAGGCCAGTCCTCCCTGGTCTCTAACCATTGTTTTAGGCTGCCCCCATGTACAATACTAGAAGATATTTTGCAGCCTGAAGCAGTATAGCAAATGGTGACTTTCCTTCCTGAGGAATTTTAACAAGAATTTGGGGTCCTTTTATAACACGTAAAATCACTTGCCAAGCTGCTACCTAACTCCAGCATTTAATAACAGGTCCAGACAGACCATTCCCCGAGTCCCATAATAACGGAATGTATGGTTTCCAGACTCGGCTTGAAAACTGTGTTTGTGGACACCAGTTATCCCTAAATTGCATGTGTTTTGCATGTGGTGGTTCAGGTAGATGGGGAAATGAGGCTGAGCGACTCGCACTTCACCAGAATCTATCTGGAGTGTAATTGGCTGAGGAAATTGCAAATCAAGAACTTCCTAGCTGGTATCTGGAGACAGCTGGATGCTATGGTATACCAGCTCCCAGACAGCACGGCTGGGAGAGGCAGGCTGGGTAGCTAAGGAGGACAGGAGCAAAGAGGGAAGGAAGGCCCAAAGCAATAGCCTAAGTAACTCTCATCTCACCACCAACCCGAAATTTTCTTTGTTTCTAGGACACCTCACAATGATTATTCCTGTCCGATGCTTCACCTGTGGGAAAGTTGTGGGCAACAAGTGGGAGGCGTACCTGGGCCTCTTGCAGGCTGAATACACTGAAGGGTGAGTTTACAGAAGGCTTCTTTGTTGTTTAAAAAAAACATGCACACAACTTACCTGTGTGGTCCTTGAGAAAAAGGCATAGTTGGGTGTTGTCTTTATTAAACAAATTAGGTAAAGGTAAAGGTTCCCCTTGACATTTAGTCCAGTTGTGTTCAGTCTAGGGGGCAGTGCCCATCCCCGTTTCCAAGCCGTAGAGCCAGCGTTTGTCCGTAGACAGCTTCCGTCATGTGGCCAGCACGACTGGACGTGGAACGCTGTTACCTTCCTACCGTGGTGGTATTTATCTATTTGCATTTGCATTTTGTACTGCTAGGTTGGCAGGAGCTGGGAGAAGCGACGGGAGCTCACTCCATTGCGTGGATTTGATCTTATGACTGCTAGTCTTCCGACCTTGCAGCAGAGGCTTCTGCGATTTAACCCTTAGTGCCATCACATCCTCAAATTAAGTGTGGTCAAGTCAATTCCAACTTAATGAGGACTCACTGCAGGATTTTTCATAAATGGCTTACCATCGCCTTCTTCTGAAGGCTATCTGGGGCTATGCAGCTTGCCCAAGGCTATACAGGCTGGCTCCCAGGTGGCATTTTTTTTGGGGGGGGGATCAAACTCTAACCTGTGGCTCCATGGCCAGATACTCAACTTGCTGAGCTGTCCACCCAGCTGTTTTATTTATTAGGTCACAAAAAATAATTTAGAAGGCAAGCTTTTGAACCAAAATTTGAGATAGAGGAGGAACAGAAAATTTCAGAAATTTGCCTGGCTTTTTATTGCAGTAGTCACATCTCAAAATGGAGGACCATGGGTTTGAAGAATCAGTTTGAGGTGTGGTGCCCTGAGGTTATACTTTCAGAGAGGTAGATTCCATACATAGATTTCTCTTTCTATAGGCATGCAGGCACAGCTGTTCATCCCTTTGTAGTTGAATCACAAGACTTTTCTGGGAACTTGGTACAAAAGTATCAGTAGCATACCAATCCTCACATCATCAGTGCTGGAGATTTGGGTGGTTCTGTTTTGCCTAGTGCAGTGCCCAAAATTAATATCCACCTTTAAAATGGTAAGCGGGTAGAAAATAGTAAAATTAAAGGGAGCAAACCAAAGGCCGTCTAAAGCATTTGTGTTGGAAGAAGACTAGACCGGTAATAAGGGCCCAGACCCATCGCTTCCGAAAGCTTGATCTGGGAAGCAAAGCCACCCCTGCCATGGCTAGTCACCTCCTATTTAGCCCAACCTACCTTGTTACAGTTAGTTGTGCAGCTAAAATGGATGGGAGGGAAGGACCCTGTAGAACACGGAAAGCCCATTAGATCCAGGCTGGGCCATAAACATTAAACCTGGTAATGAAAATGGTAAACATTTCGTAATTTAGGAGCCTTCACAGAAAAGTGTGATTCCATGTTCGTTATAAAAACTCACCTAAAATAGCTGGACTATTGAGGTTTATGGAGAAAGTCGGGGTTACTAGAGAATGGCCTCTACTTGAGATACCAATAGGCAGGTTAGTATGAGAAGAGGTGGGCCTTCTTAACCCATTTGGTGTTTGACTAACATTTTAAATTCATGATGGGGGGCAAATGGAAATGAGAAACTAAGAGGTATACAAACCTCTGGGGTGTACATCATCACGCCTATTTTTTTCACTGCCTCTCTCAGGGATGCGTTGGATGCCCTCGGCCTGAAGCGCTACTGCTGTCGGCGGATGCTTCTGTCTCATGTGGATTTGATTGAGAAGCTGCTGAACTATGCACCCTTGGAGAAGTAGCGTTAACACCCCGAACACAAGGAGGCTGGGACATCTCTATCTCTCTCGTGCGCGCGCACACACATCATTGCTGTTTCATAGGTTTTTCTGAGGGTGTATTTGGTGCAGGAAGGGTTCCCTTTCATTCAGTGATGTGCAATAAAGAGTATGAATTGCATGGACGTGAAATTGGTCTCTTTTGCTCCTGAAGGTTTGATTCAGTGGCAGGTAGGTGAAGATCGATTTCAGTAGTATTTTCAGGCTTGAGGAGGTTCTTGAGAAGATGCTTTCTGTATACAAAAAGCTACCTTTCCAAGTTTTGCATGATATTGTGCTCTGAAAACTGATATAGTCCATTTTGTTGTCATTCATGTTTGAGGAGGTTCTTGAGAAGATGCTTTCTGTACACAAAAAGCTACCAAGTTTTGCATCATATTGTGCTCTGAAAACTGATATAGTCAATTTTGTTGTCGTCTATCTAGAACAGGTAACTGGGATACTGCCTTTATTTTTAAACAGGCAATTTTCATATTTCTGTTCCCAAAGGTATTTTAGCGGGTTTGGAAAAGGTGGGAAAAGGAGGTTCTTGAGAAGATGCTTTCTGTACACAAAAAGCTACCAAGTTTTGCATCATATTGTGCTCTGAAAACTGATATAGTCAATTTTGTTGTCGTCTATCTAGAACAGGTAACTGGGATACTGCCTTTATTTTTAAACAGGCAATTTTCATATTTCTGTTCCCAAAGGTATTTTAGCGGGTTTGGAAAAGGTGGGAAAAGAAGCAAATCATGATTACATTGTAACAGGTTTACTTGCCCTTTCTAAACTAGAAACTAAGCTAGGTTGGCAGAATAAGGGTAGACATACCCATGAAAAGCAGCCATATATTAGATAGAAGGCTGAAGTGTAGATTTTCCATTGTCAAACTGTTGTTAAGTAACTGCAGCAATCTATTCTAATTGCCGTTAATCCTGGAACAGATTAACGTCGCTATGCAGGGCACCACTTTACATGATTCTAATTGCTTGCTATTATACTGCCCTTCAGTTGTATTTCTAGAGTTGTATACAAATTGGATGACTTAAACCTGCATTTCCTAAATGCATTGTGGAAATCCTCGTGACCATCTCCAATCCCACAGGGACTGCTTTATTGTCGCAGTCTCACAACTTTACACTGGGCATTGCTGTAAAATAGCTTCTCAGCAGAAGCTACCAAGTACGTGAGAAATCTGGATTTCAATTAAGTGGCATAAAGCCACTGAGCATGCATACACATACGTACGTGGTTAGATGGTTCTTTCTGTTCCTCTGCCAGTTCTTTTCCTTTTATACCATGCTACTGAGCAAATAAATTGCACTACCCAAGTTTTGACCCTTGTGGGGAACTATAAAATGTTGGTTCTAATTCAACAACTGGAACTACTCTTATGCTCCTCCTGCTTGAGCTGAAAGACACAGGACTAGAGAGAATGGGCTTCTCTCTGAATATAAATCCTAGGGCTATTTGGTTAGATGGTTAGCTTTTTTCCCCAAGAAGGGGTGAACAATTGGTTTCAACCTCTTTATTTTTTATTTCCTCATGAATGTAACCATATAAAAACCATAAGTTATGAAAGTCACACAAATTGTCAGCTTTCCAAGGGCACAGGATTAAAAAAAAAAAACACCACTCCCACCCACCCTATACTGTAGATCGAAACCAAATGTAAGAGGGAGAAGTACAAAACTGTCAGTGAAAAAAACACTCACAAAATGGAGATGCCTTTTCCGCCCTCAAACATCTCTGTATGCCCTCTTGGTTTTTTTTAAAAAAAATTTGTTGGAACGCCCCCCCCCCCGACTGGACGCTGGATAGAGAGGTTTAGATTGGAAAAAACCGAGCAGCATTTGATTAGAGGGGAGGAGATGCCGAAGAGCAGAATTATTCTGGAAATTGGGGTGGGAGAGAGCAAATTCTAGGCAACACAGTGCGATAGAGGTCAACAATGATTTCAACTAACAAAAATAAAAATTCATGATGGAAGTCTGCTGTTGGCCCTCAGGACAAACGGACGGATGGACATACCACGTGCGCGTCTTAAATTGTGCTAACAGCCTCAGTTCCTGGCTGGGGGAGAAGGGGAGGATTTCGAAAACGAGGGGCAATGGAGTTGAGGGGGGGCATCTTGGCTATTTTCCCCCTAGCCTCTAATACTGACCCTCTCCTTGCTGGCCCAGAGTTGTAGCAACAGGAAACTACACAATGAAATGAATTAGTGATACGCCAACAGAATAAGACAAGGAGGGTTAGCTCTGGGTGCAAGGTCGGCTGGAGGAGGAAGAGAAACACTGGCAGGAGGCAGAGGGGCTAACGCATCCGGTAATCCGTTGAACAGGACAGCTCACACAACTGGCCCTTGAAGTCCAGATCAATGGTGAAGTCCAGATCTCGCTGCAAGCGAAAAGAGAAAAGGAAAGTTATTAGAAAATACAGTTTCCTCAAGATGCTCTTCCCTCCAACAGATCCCACTTTCTCCTCCATCCCAAAAGGGGCAGAACAGTCCTTAATTGTGCAGCAAGAGCAATTCAATTCCCTTTTGAGCATCTCAATATTTGTTTTTGTAGCCAATACATCTCCAATTCACACAAACAGGCTGCTAGTAAATATGTGAAGGTTCACACCTAAACTTTAGAAGACCTAATAATGTTACGCACCACTTTTCTGTCCCCACCCCTCTGCTTGTCAAACTTGTTCTCTTAAATCCATCTGTTGCTGTTACTGGATGATTGGTTATGCCAAAAGTCAGGGATGTAGAGAGTGGAATGATAAGGGGGACTGAGGACATCTAAGGACTTGACTTTCTGCCTTTTCTCACAGTGGCCTTTCTTCTCTCCAGTCCGAAGCACCCCTTACCACTTCAGTACTGCCAAATACACTAGGAACTACCCCTACTCCCAAAAGGGACCAGGAAATCTACTCCTGTTCTGAAAATCTGAATACTAAGAAAAGCATCAACTCAGTGGCCTTGATGCTGTTTTCACATGATCAGGCCAAAGTGACTCTCATCAAAATGTGTGCAAAAAGCTGGGGCTGGCTTCTGACATTCAAAAGTGAACAAATGGGGACCTGCAACAGATTCTTAAAGAAGAGTGCTCCTATTCGGGTTACCAGCCATGCCCTCCTTGGGTAAGCTGTTCCACGTCTCCCCTGCTATTAACACCCAGCTTACAACTTCCCACTGATATTCAATATGAGGTACCACAAAGGTCTGCTTCTGGGCCCCAGGTAATTCAGTCAACCTTGTGACTCCTCCACTCTCAAGCATTCTGACACTTTGCTCTTGTTTCTTGGTTGCCCAGCTTCTGCTAGCACTCATAGCTTGAGTCTGCTATGAGAGGAAGCGTTTCTAGTACGGGGCAGGCATAAGAATAAGGTTTAGATTCCTGACTCACGTTGTTCTTTGCGTTGGGCTTCATACCAATGGTGCCAAATATCTCTTCTCCTGTCTTCACTGTTAAGTAGTCCTCCATGTAAAAGACTGTCTGCTTCCAGTGAGTGTAGGGCGATTCGGGGCCTGTGAAGCAACAGGGAGGTGAAGTCAATGGGAAAGCACAAACTTAAGAGGTGAAGACACATATACCCACTACCAAGTTTCCCTCTGTTTACACAGCTTAGCTTTTTCCAAGTTCCTTCACACTGTTGCCAGACTCACAAAGAGTGGTTATTTCTTCCCTGCCTTCATGCTTCAAAGTTTTGAAAGCCTACAATTTTGTAGGCTGGAAGGAAGCCCAGTCTCATAGTTACCGAACTAGTTCCTGCTTACAACCAAGCCACTGTTTGCCGGCAACATCACATTCTCCCCAAAGGTTCTGGCTAATTCTAACCTATTACTAGTTAGGTTCTTATGGCAGATGATTTCAGAATCACAAGGTCCAGTCCTCCCCACTACCAAATCCTTACTCTAAAGCCAAAGCACCCACACAGAACTCATTAAACCATCAGCCTTCGCCTGCTCGTTTCCCAAATCAAAACCATGCTCCTTACTGGTGGAGAATCCGGTGCGCTTATGGCAACGAGTGAACTCTATGTTGAAATAGGCGACCAAGGCGTGAATGTAGTCATTGCGCTTCACCTGAAGACAGAAGGGCGACGTGAAAGTGAGGTCCTCCACCTTCACTGTGTAAATGTCCACCTCCTACCAGCCATGATCCAGGAGAAAAAGAGGGAAGAAGAACATGAAATGAGATTCAGACACACACACACACACCTCCTATGGCCCTTCACCAATCACATTAGAGGCAAAAGAGGCCACATCTAAGCATAAGGGAAGCTCTCTCATGCTGGGACAAAAACTGTGTTAAACAACAACACACAGCATTTAAAATGACACCCAACCCAAAGCAACCACATTAAAAAAAAGCTATTGAAAGACTGTATGTGTGTAGATGTCAACATTGTTTGACCAGTCATGACATAGAGGTGGTTACACCAGATTTGATAGATCCTCTCCCACATGAGTTCTAAAGAAGGCACAAAACCTCCCACGTGGGCCTCCAAAACACCTCCAAGCCAGTAGATCCTCTCCCACATGAGTTCTAAAGAAAGGCAGAAAACCTCCCACATGGGCCTCCCAAAACACTTGGAAGCCAAAGCACTGCAACCTTTCACTGTTGTTCCCTACTTCTGTTTCCATCCATCTACTGACAATGTGCCAAAGCTGTTATCTTGACTGGAGAAGCTATCAGTGGCTGATTTGCTCTATCTTCTCAAAGAACGGACACCACCCACACAGCTATGCATCACAAAGGGAGCAACTGCAGGTGCACTGCCAAAAATACCTCTGCTGAGCAAGCAGCTCAAGCAAGAAAGCCAACTCACTTCAGGCACAGACAAAATCTGGCTGGCAACTTCATCAGAACTAAACCTTCAATAAGATTAGGGAAAATCCCAGCTCCTCTTGCTTTACCACTTAATCTAAATGCAAATTATAATCCTTACAGTCTGGCACCACATTTCACACTGCTCAACTATCTAGATGCAGGTCAAACTAAGGTCATGAAAGCTAAAAGCTCCCTTCCCCATCTGGCATGCCTTCAACTACTCTAATGATAGATGCTGCAGCCAGTCAGTGAGGGATTGAAGGCAACAATTTCCCCAGTCTCCAGGGTGCACAGATCTAGGGTCTCTGGGCCTTCTCATGCATGTTACACCATCCAGAGAACAAAAAAGGGACATTGGACTGGAAACTGAGACTCTACAATAGACAAACTCAATTTCACACTATAGAGTGTAAAGTTTGGAAAAACTCCTTTCTTGGCCTACAGTTCCTAAAATGGTCAAGCCAGCATGGTCACTACACAGGAACCAACGATAATCCAAAGATAGTTTTTCCAAGATCTGACACAGGGTGCTTAGCAGCCACAGTAGTGATTGAGAAGTTCACAGGGAAAGCTGTCCCAGCCAGTCATACGTACTTTGATAAGGCAAGCATTGGTGACCAACTGCTTTGGGTCCACGACATCCACCAAAGGTTCTTTGATGGCCACGTCTTTAATACATGACATGTCAAAGCCATACACATTCTCCCACCCTGAGGAAAAAGAAGGGGACACGTTCAGATCCTGGAAAGCTTTGCCAAGAAAGCAACCCATCATCTGTTCCCAGCCACTAAAGATGTGCAGGACAAAGAGAACAGACCAAACTCGGTTCCTGCAAAAGGATTAGACCAGAATAGCAGTTTTCCAAGTGTTCTGGCTTCAGGGAACCCTTTTGCACCATCATTTGTTTATAAAAGGCATCCTCCCATTTGTCCATCATTGGCAGCCTCTGGGGCATGTTTGGAAGTCAACCCAAGAAGGATGGGCAACCCATTGTGAACTGAAGGCCACTTCCCCGCCCCTCAGCTGGACACCCTCCCTGCCTTCCTGGTCCATGTGCTGATAAGACTGGGAACCCCAGCAGGCCAGATCAGGCCAATTAATGGGTGTGTCCCAAACGTGGATGGGCAACCGTTGTGAACTGAAGGCCACTTCCCCGCCCCTCAGCTGGACACCCTCCCTGCCTTCCTGGTCCATGTGCTGACTGGGAACCCCAGCAGGCCAGATCAGGCCAATTAATGGGTGTGCCATTTCCCAAACGTACAAACTGGAATTATTGAGAGTGCTGAGGAAGATCCAGCAGGTCTCAGGGTACGCCTCAGGTGATGCGTGATTTTGCCCAGAATACATTCCACTACCCCCCTCCCTTCTGCATGTGTGTTGCAGGCTCAAGGTGCTGTAAGGTGTAATCATAGGAAAGCCACTTTCTAGAGAAGACTGAAAGCTTTTAGGAAAGCACCTTCCAATAAACTTCAAAAGAATATCAGGTTCTTTTTGCCCAGAATACATTCCACTACCCCCCCCCCTTCTGCATGTGTGTTGCAGCTCAAGGTACTGTAAAGTGTAATCATAGGAAAGCCACTTTCTAGCGAAGACTAAAAGCTTTTAGGAAAGCACCTTCCAAAAAGCTTCAAAATAATCTCAGGTTCTACTAGCACACCATTTAATGGCCACAGAGGCGGGATATTAAAAGACAACATGCTTACTTCAAATAAAGCTGACCAACTGGAGGCCCAAAGTGTCCTCAACTGACCCTTTAATGCTCTTATCCATATCACTACCCCATCCTCTCTCCTTTCAGAGGCTTTTGGGCCAAATAACACAGTGCTGCTACTTACAGTGGATCTTGTAATCTTTGTACTGCCGATCTTCAATCGCTGTGATGTACAGTGTAGCACGGTCTGGGAATATGAGTCCATCAGGAGTCTGAAAGAAAAAGAGTTGGAAGGAAGTTGTTAACACCATCTTACATACCGGAACACCCATTAATACCCCAGATTATCCCTTCTGAAATATTCTAACTCCATGTACTGAATAACAAGGGGCTAAGGAATACTACCATTCAAGCATAACCATAATCTGAATTATAGAAGAGCCAAAAATGGGTAGCAGACCAGGCTTTAGTTAACCTGCTATGCTCTTAGAATACAACAGTAATTAGCCTATAACTAAAAGGGATATGGTGGTTCTGCAGGTTAAACTGCAGAAGCCTCTGTGCTGCAAGGTCAGAAGACCAGCCGTAGTAAGATCGAATCCACGTGACGGAGTGAGCTCCCATCGCTTGTTCCAGCTCCTGCCAACCTAGCGGTTCAAAAGCATGCAAATGCAAGTAGATAAATAGGTACCACCATGGTGGGAAGGTAATGGTTCCGTGTCTAGTCGCGCTGGCCACGTGACCACGGAAACTGTCTACGGACAAACGCTGGCTCTATGGCTTGGAAACAGGGATAAGCACCGCCCCCTAAAGTCAGACACGACTGGACTAAATGTCAAGGGGAACCTTTACCTAGCCTATAACTAGAGGCACGCACACTGGAGCCTGATGACTAGTTTCAATCTCCATTCCCACCAACAGATATTAGAGTACAATGTACAATACCTAATTCTCACTGTGTGAAGCCGGATCCTGACAATTCCTAAAGAATCCCCTTATCATTTGCGCAGAGGCAAGCTGGGCTGCCACTGAATAGTCTTCTCTGCTTCAGAGTTAATCGCAAACTACTTCTGTGGCTCAGAGCACCCTAACAAGAAGTGTCCCCTTATCATTTGCGCAGAGGCAAGCTGAGCTGCCACTGAATGGTCTTCTCTGCTTCAGAGTTCATTGCAAACTACTTCTGTAGCTCAGAGCACCCTAACAGGAAGTGGCTTTAAATACAGTGGTGCCTCGCTTAACGGGTGCCCCATTTAACGCTGAAATTGCATAACGATTAACTTTTTGCGATCGCTTTGCGATGTTTTAAATGGGGGGAAATGGCTTACCCATCATCGCAAAGCGATGATTTTTAACAGCTGATCGGTGGTTCCAAAATGGCCGCCGGGTTAAGAAAAATGGCCACCCGCTGTTTTCTGGGACGGATTCCTCACTTACCGGGCAGCGAAAATGGCTGCCGTATGGAGGATTTTCGCTTAAAGGTGAGTCTGAAGCCCATAGGAACACATTGAAGGGGTTTCAATGCATTCCTATGGGCTTTTTAATATCGTATAGCGACGAAATCGCTTTGCAACTATTTTTGCTGCACGGATTATCTTCGCTATGTGAGGCACCACTGTATCTTGTGGGAATGTACTGGTCTATCATGAGTAAGGTTCTGTATCTCTGCCTTTTTAGGAGTCAAGTGCAGGCCTTCTTCCTGATAATTACAAACTGGATCTAATCCACCATTTTAAAAAACTGCTATTATCAGTCCATGATAACACCCATTCCCCATGTAGCACTATGTATGTAGAACACTGCAAGAGGCAGCTCTTTAAAGAGCAAAAGTACTTGAGAAATTACATACAGGACAGGGCGTTTCATGGACATATGCACTCCCTTTCACACAAGATCTATGAAAAGCCTGGGACAGAACAGGAAGAGGAGGGTGAGACGGGGGGGGGCAAATATCTTCTCTGTCTCTCTGCCTCTTCCCTCTTTCCCCACACACTTGGGGGCCAGGTGAGAGACAATCACTGTTACTAAAACTATCTGAACTGGTTAACAGCAGACAACTTTTGAAAGGGAATTCTAGAACTCGGGACCCATTTTGCAAAGCAGTTGATAAACTGGAATAACAAGATCTGGTTTTGTCCAATTGATCCAACTGTGGTCTTGAGATTTTTTTAGGCCGTGGGAAAAATAATTCTGTTCTGTGACCACATATCATCCACAGGCTAAAAGGAGAGACATAATAGTATTGCTATCAGTATGTAAGACTATTAAAAGGTATGGGTACAGTCTAAACCTGAGAGTGGCTGGTAAAACAGCACCAGTAAGGAGGGAACTTACCAGCCACTTGTCCCTTGCGTAGATTACAGTATTCAGCATGGACTCATAGAAGAGGCAGTATCCCATCCACTCACTGATTATTATGTCAACCTTCTCCACAGGCAGTTCCACTTCCTCCACTTTGCCCTTGATGATAGACACCACTTCAAGGAGGAAAACAACAATCTCATGGAAAAGAACCAGCTTAACAAACACAACTTCATTTTAAAAGCAATTCAAAAATAAGGAAATACACAAGCACCCACAAGATTTTCATCTATGGCAAAGTATTCTAACTAATGCAAGAATTAACAACAGTACCACAAATATGTACTGTGCTTTACAGACCACCACCACAACTACGCTCTGGGGTTCAACACAGGCATTCGAATATACAGGAAATGAGTGTGTTAAAGTCAGCTATGTATTTTATGAAGTACTGAGTGTGGAAGTGAGAAAGAAAACCAGCAACAACATAATGATATCTTGGGAGACAGTTCAAGGCCCATAGATCAACAAGGGAGAAATGGTGGGGAGTAAATTTTTAGATGATCAGTGTTTGAGGCAGAAGAGATTCAAAAAATATGAGAGGTAAAGGGGTGCAAGGCCAGGAATATTTCGAAGAAAAGGGCACAAAACTGGAAGCAAACAGTGTGTGTAAAATGAAAGGAATCACTCATCAGTGTACTGAAGGGGTAAGGCTTTCGACAGTAGAATTCTGAAGAGAAATGAGGGGTCTAAGGTTCAAAATTAAAAGAGAGACGTTTGCACAGTGATACAATGAGAAAAGACCTACAGTGGTGCCTTGCTTTACGATTGCCCCGCATTACAACGAACCCACATTATGATGATCTTTTTGCAATCGCAAAACGATGGTCTGAATGCTTTTTTTTTCGCTTTGAGATGATCAGTTCCCTGTTTTGGGAACCGATTCTTTGCAAAACAATGAAATTCCTCCAGCTGATTGGCGGTTTCAAAATGGCCACCGGGTAAATAAAATGGCTCCCCACTGTTTTCTGGGACACATTCCTCACTGCACAAGTACCCAAAATGGCCACCCTATGAAGGATCTTGCTGGACTGTGAGTTTCCAGCCCACTGGAACGCATTGAAGGGGTTTCAATGCGTTTCAATGGGTTTTTTATTTTCACATTACGACGTTTTCGTTCTACAGCAATTTCGCTGGAACAAATTAACGACATAATGCGAGGCACCACTGTAAGTATATGTCAGAGCTTTCACAGAGGGGGTGGAGAAGGGCTGTGTTTCAAGCCTCCTGAAGGTTTTTTAAAGGTATAACTTCCTCTAGAAACTTTCACACTTAATCTGAAAGAGTGCACAATCAAAGGGGAAATGACCAAGCTAGAGCTTCAGGGGAGTACCTAGAGAAAAATAAGTCACCAGGGTCCTGATGCTGATTTGAGCCATAAAGGAATGGGGAATGCTTGCATACAGTAAGAACACACCTTGTACCAAAAATACCCTGATAGAAAACCCAGAAGGAATCCAAGAGGTATTAGCAGAGAATGACAGCTACATTTCATCTGTGCAGACAGTATCCCTTTTAGGACACTGGCTCCTGTTTCAGTATACAGATAAAGTAATATACAACTTCAAAGATAAAAATATCTTAACAAAGCAATGACTCACCATGATCAAGTTTGTTCGCTTTGACAATTTTCACAGCATAATCAGAAATACTGGAACATTCAATCTATTGAGAGAAATAAAGAGGGTTCATGCACTGTCCTGGCACCAAACATATTTCAGTAGAGACATTCACGTAACAAACCCTTTACTATCCAGAAAGATTGGCATGGGATTAAGGTAGCAACAATGACCCAAAAAAGTATCAAGCACACAGTCTACTAAAAAAAATCAAGGGTATATGTGTGCATATACATAAACATATGTGGAAATTTTTAATCTTCATGGATATGTAGAAAGAAAATTGAGACTTCTGCTGGAGAATTTAAAAACAGAAAGGCTAGGGTCAGGTCTGCCACATTTGAATTTTTTCCAAAGGCTTCAGGGTACTTAAAGATTTTCCCTTCCAGATCCAGTTCTATCATGAGGCCTATCTAACTTGACCTACAGCCTCAAATTCTGTAGGAAGGAAAAACTGGATTATTTCAAATACAGAATGCCAAACATTCTGCATACTTAGCCTAGCACCCAATGGCATTCCTAGAATCCATTACACCAGTAGTTGTCAACATAAGTGAGTCCCCTGATATTGCTGGCATACAATCCCTCAATCTTTCACCTTAGGTCATGCTGGATACGGCTCCTGGGAATCGGAAATCAAACAGTATCTGGGGACTCCAGCTTTGGAACCACTGCATTACATGATGGCCTCTCGCAAAAGAGGTTCTCTTGCTCACCCCAATGACACGCTTCGCACCAGCCTTGGCTGCAAACATGCAGAGGATTCCAGTTCCGCTGCCAACGTCCAAGACCACTTTGTCTTTGAAGAGATGTCGATTATGAAACATGGAATTTCTGTAGGTCAGCGTGCGCACCTCGTCTTTCAGCATTTCCTATGGTGGAAAGAGGACAAGAGGGAGAGATACTCAATGAACCTTCTCAAAATCCATTTACACCCCATTTAGCAGGCAAGAACAGATCACTGCTGAAGAGGTGCTTTATGACCCATGACCCAGCCAATTTTTGTCACCTCATGGATCCCGAAGTGGGCATAAGAATCAAAATAGTAATCCTTGGAGGTCATCTCCTCCGCCGTTGGCTTGACGCTGCTTTCTGGCTGGGTGCATGAGACCTGGTGAAAGACAAGATATTGTTAAGATGGAGAAAATCTGGACCACCCTATGGACTTACAATAAAACTTTGAAGTTCCCTGCATTCTGTGGTCAGTGACAAGAATTGCTGTGTTTAATCAAATTATTATAGTTAGATAAACCCACCTTTCCCTAAACCAGCATCCTTTGGATGTGCTGGACCCCAACTCCCATTATCCACAGTTACCCTAATGGCCAAGGGTTATGGAAATGTGATCGACAGCCGTATGCTGAAACATTGGTCAAAATCTTATTGTGTACCTGCATTTGCGTAACCTGGAAGTTATACAAGCCACTGCCAAATCTGCATCAAGCTGGAAATCATATTCAACAAACAGATCTGTAGGTACAGTTGCATAGCTAGTTGTGCAATCAGCCTGCCTGGGAGTAACTGAACTTCTACAAGCAGAATAATTTTATGCTACACCAAATGCAAAAGGATTTCAGCAGTTAGGTTGTCGGGCCAGAATCCTCTTTGAAATCAGGGAGCATAACATCCTGCAGGTAGCACTCTGTGATTACCAGCTTGCAATTACATGACCTGCAAACTGCTCTGTTTAAAGTGAATACCTCCTTGTGCACATTCAAACTCCCAACTGCTGTGCAAGTAGACATAACAGAAGCTTTTGCCCAAAATGTTTAACCAGAGATGTTAAGAGACTGAATGCTGAAGCTTCTATATGCAACACATGTCTTCTACAGCTGCACTGTAAGTCCCCCACCGTGAAATCTTGTCGCTCCTCCCAATGTTATTGATGTTATTGATCCTTCCAATAAAATTAAGGTAATGTGCTCCTTGAATAAGGGATCAAAGTTTTTTATTTGTCTTTGTTTAGATATTGTTCCATCATAAGAAATTTGGTGAAATGTTAGGTTAGGCTAATTCTGCAATATTTAACCCAATATTAATATGTGTGTATTTTGTGCTGTGAAGTCAGAATTCACTTATAGTGACCTTAACAGTGATATTTAAGGAGTCTTTTTACCAGTTCCATACCCCTACTGAGTTTCCATGGCCAAGTGAAGATTCAAACCCAGCGTCCTAATTCATCACTCTACCCTCTACACCAGTGGTTCTTAACCTTGGTTACTCAGGTGTTTTTGAACTGCAACTCCCAGGAACCCCAGCCAGCACAGCTGGCGGTGAAGGCTTCTGGGAGTTGCAGTCCAAAAACACCTGAATAAACCAAGGTTAAGAACCACTGCTCTACACCACACTGGGACTCCAATATTAGTAGTGACCCATTCCAAAAGGAAATGCAAATGCTGATGAAGAATTCTAGAAAATGTGCATATTCCGTGAAATATATATTTTTATATCTATATCTAGCTAACCTACTTGTGGATTTTAATAGCCAAAGTGAGCCTCTGTTTGTTGAATAATAACTGCCTTGTTCTCCTTCCCCCTGTACTCAACAGAATGTGATTAACAACTGGTATCTCCTGTCTGCCACCCTCAGCAGCCTCCCACATCCTACATTTACCATTCCTGATGCTGCTGCCAATCTTTATTTGCCGACCAAATATAAATCCCTAGGGAGACTAGCATTGTTGACATCTATTTGTCTTTCCTCACCCTCGCTGTAGAAGAACATCTTTCTCCTTTAAAAGTCTCAAAAATCACACAATAGTTCTGTAGCAAGTCAAATAATAGCCAGACGTGAGAAATTACCCAAATCTACTCTTGGACAAAGGGCTGTTCTCATTCAGACTGTTCTAGAGATGGTGAACTTTCAATACACTCACTTTATATCATGATACACTCTTGATGGTTTTTGTTTTTAACTCACTATCTTGGAAAGAAACCTGCACTGTTTCATTAGGATTTTCCTAAGGTCAAGAAAGACAGGCAAGCCACCAAGACCACCTATCAAAATAGAGAAGGGCAAGAGAAGTGACTACAGAATGCAACAGCACTAGGTTCAACCATGTGTCAGTAAGTGGGACATCTTCACACAAACTACACTTTTCAAGCATGCGTGTTTTGGGGGTGGGGTGAGGGAATCATGTGAACAGGGATGGCATATTTTGAGTTGTATTATCCACATATCACACTCAGTCTGAAAACATATGGAACAGCATTCTGGCTATTAACTAATTAACTGACAGAACACCCTTCTGGGTTTTTCCCAGAATACTAGTTGGAGCATAAGATGTGCTAAAAAGGGAGGAAAATATTTCCCAGATATTGTCATTTTATTCTAGCTCTGTCTTCCTTTTTAAAAAGTAGGTGTCTGTACCCGTCTCATTCCTAAGTGTAGCACAATTTTAGGTTCTCAGCTGAAGTAACAGAATAACTGATGGAACACTTAAAGAGTATTGAAACATTTTGGGGTACACTTTTATCAGTAATTCTTACAAGTGTCCTGCATAGTAAATGAATATGATCCCCATACTGCAGATGAAAATGAGGCAGAGAAAGATAGGCAAGCCACCAAAACCACCTATCATATCACAACATTTTGATTTCTGGTTAACAAGTCAATGTCTAGTCACTTCACTACACCGGCCGTGTGTTCAGAGATGTGGAACCGAGGACGCTGCTTCATACTATTTATCCACTTAGTGCAATTACTGTCTACTCTGGCTGGCAGTGGCTCTCCAAGATTTCAGGCTGGGGGTCTTTCACATGTATTAACGTCTGTTCCATTCCTTCAACTTGAGATACCAGAGAATGAATCTGAAACCTTCTATTGCAAACCATGAGCTGTACCACCTTCCTGGCTGAATATTTCTGATGCTCTAGACCAGCGATGGTGAACCTATGGCACGCATGTCACAGCTGGCACACAGAGCCCTTTCTGCGGGCACCCAAGCCGTAAGTCACCGGATCGCTAACCCCACCCCCATTCCTTCAACTTGAGATACCAGAGAATGAATCTGAAACCTTCTATTGCAAACCATGAGCTGTACCACCTTCCTGGCTGAATATTTCTGATGCTCTAGACCAGCGATGGTGAACCTATGGCACGCATGTCACAGCTGGCACACAGAGCCCTTTCTGCGGGCACCCAAGCCGTAAGTCACCGGATCGCTAACCCCACCCCCACCAGCCAAACCTGAGAAGGCGGCTGCAGCTGCTCTGACAGGTGGTGGGCCAGGATCCAGACCCAAGCCGTAAGTCACCGGATCGCTAACCTCCCCCGCCAGCCAAACCTGAGAAGGCGGCTGCAGCTGCTCTGACAGGTGGTGGGCCAGGATCCAGAGCAGGTGGAGCTGGCAGCAGATCTGGAGTAGGGTCTTGAGGCACCTCCATGCCCAGGATTCCCCCTTCCACTGCGACTTCCAGTTCTGCCACTTCCACCGCCACCCTGCCAGGTTTTTTCCACCCATCCCCAGTTTGGGCACTTGGGCCCAGAAAGGTTTGCCGTCATTGCTCTAGAGTCTAGACATTACCTCTAAGCCTGTATCTTTTATAAGGTGAGTTGTCAGAAATTAAATTCAAAACAGAAATTAGAATATATGTCCGTTTTGGTGGCTCTATTTTCTCTCTTCTTTGTGCCTGGAAGCAACTGTTCTGGCCCACAAGTCCCTGCTGGCCTGGAGAGAGCAATTCACAACTTTCTGCCTGCTTTAAAAGAGCCCTATAAATCAACTCATAAGTTACTAGCTTGCAAAATGACAACAACGACAAATAAAAGTTGCCTGGCAGGCATAGTTGGGGGAGAGCAAGAGAGATTTCTGTGATAAACACACAGAAGGAGAACAAGAGCCCTGCCCATCTCTCATCACCTCATTCTCCTATAGGTAATTTATGACTGTCACTGGCTACCAGACTAATTTTTAAACACAAGGGGTGCTTCACAGCTGTCATTCTCAATCTTTGACCCTCTAATGTTCTGTTCTTCAACTCCCTGAATCCCAGAGCGTTAGCTACGCTCACTGAGGACAAAAGATGGAGAACTGTAGCATTATAGTGCCTCGTGGCTGACAAAAACATGATCCAGGATGGCAAGATGCTACATGTTCTCTTGAGCCACAAAGGCTCATAGTTTATTCTTCCAGGTTCACAAAAAAGCAGCATAAAGCTACAGGAAGCATCGGGAATACTTTTGGCTTCCTTATAAAACTCAGTGTGTCTCCATAGGGAAGCATCATTCATTCCCATCTAGAGAACAATCCGCCTAAACAAAGCAAAGGGTTAGGCAGGAGCATAGTCTGCTGTGGGGGTAAAACGTTCTCAGTGCTTCATTGCAATGATATTTAGAACTTAGATGCCACCATATACAAGACAAAATTGGCATTAAAAATAGAGACAGGCTAGGACGACTCATCTTGCAAAAATTCTAATGGCTGGCTACACATAAGAACTTTTAAAGGCGTGTAGGTCTGGTCATCATACACTCAAAGATTTCTCAGAAACTGGGGTGGGGGAGGCACTTCTGAGGAGTCTAGAAGCTGGGATACCCAATCTATATGAGTGAAGAGAGACTGGTAAAAAATGGACTTCACTGTGATGCCATGGAAATTGGAACCAAAAAACCTGCTAATTTTTACAGTCACAAATCATGGTTGTATGAAGCAACACACACTTTTCATGGCAGTTTATAGTCATCATTTTCAACCTTTTCCAACTGGGCACCCAGTTTTAATACACACATGCATATTTATATATTTATATAAAAATGAACAGCAGCTAGGAAATCATATCCCTTATCTCCGCGGATGGTGAATGTAGCAAGGGAAATGCTACAATGGCCATATACCTCAACTAGAAAATAATCAGTTTAAAGTGCTTCTCTGAGGCACCCCACCCACCCTCAAAAAAAAATAAAAAATAAAAAATAAAAAACCACTGGACCTCAGCAAGTAGTTACTCTGGGGCTGTGGAAGGCAAGCACACACTGGCCTGATCTGTCAATGAGAGCTTTTGTTCCCAGTTCACCAAGAACTGATCTTTTTAGACTACAACTCCCAGAATTCCATGGCCAGCAGCTCTGTACGCTATAGGATTCTAGGACCTGTAACCTAAAAGACAAATATTCTCCTCCCTAGGGAAAGATCAGCCTGGCACCAACCATCAGAGACACACACTAACCCCATTGGGGGGGCAATAATCCCACTGCCAGAAAGAGCAGTTCTAGATACAGTGGTACCCCGCATAGCGAGGTTAATCCGTTCCGGATTAACCGTCACTATGGGGAAACATCGCTATACGGAAAGTAAAAACCCATTGGAACGCATTAAACGAATGGGGCCCAAACTCACAGTTCAGCGAAGTTTCTCCATAGCGCCGCCATTTTCGCGCCCTCGGTAAGCGAAGGCAGGGTGCGAAAACGCTGCGCATGGCCATTTTGGGCGTCCGGCGGCCATTTTGGAACCGCGGATCAGCTGCTTAAAAAAATCGCTATGCGAAAATCAGTAAGCGAAACGCTTACCAATCGTCGCAAAGCGATTTTTGTCCATTGGAAGCATCGGTATGCGATCGCATTAGCGATCGCAAAATCCGCATCATTATGCGGAGTCATCGTTAAACGGTGCGCTCGTTATGCGAGGCACCACTGTAATTTGTTTCCCATTGTGTATGCTTGGATGACTGCAATGACCCAAAATGATTTGCTGCAAGCCATTTTGGATAGCATCAGCTTGAAACGTGGGACAAGGGGAAAAAACATATAAATCATTAAAAAAACTTTCAGATGTTCCTGGATTTCAACTCCCATCAATTGTCCATCCTTGATTTAAACAGATCAATATCTGGCAAGATTTTTTTTTGGCAACATCTGATTTTTAAATCTACTTATCCACCTGTCTATGACTGCCCACAGGCTCACCTATGATCAGACTTTCTTCTCAGTCTGTTCTGCATTCCATCTTCTTTTTAAAAAAATATTATGGTGGTCATTGTATTACTGGTACAAACCTGTTTTAGGATCTGCTGCTACTCACTTCCACGTCTCATCCCACCAAACTGAACATCAATGCCTCAGTGCACCCTTCCCCAACATATCACCCTCTAGGTATGCAACATTACCATTACTATCCTCTACAACCTTCACGGCCATTGACAGCTAGGGTCAAACACATCCTACAGAGACCAAGTTGGGGAAGCCTGCCTTAAGGCTAAATCCTAAATCAATCAGAACTTCACCTAGCTTGGGAAGGCCATAGAAAGTTTTGTTTAAAGTTCTTAATGGCTTTCAAGGTCTTATTCCTCTCTCCAGACTTTTTTAGAGTGGTTTGCTCTTTTCTTCAATCAGAATGTTTTGTTTTTAAATTTATTTACCACTTGGGGGAATAAATCAGATTTAGTAATATGTCACTATATGGATTATACAATGGCATAAGATTGTCTGGGGTAAAGCCCCAAAGTTTCACAAATGCTTACACTACAACAAAACTGATTTTCTTAAAAGGTGCCACAAGTTGTTATTTTTAGGGGACGAAGGCAATGGAGGCTTTTAAGGTCAATTCTTTATGCCCAGAAGACGATGCACTAGATTTTTCTTCCTGCCCTATATGGACTTGTGTTCAATTCATAACACACTAACCCTGTTTAATGGGCAGGGGAATAATCCCACTGCCAGAAAGTCCTAAAAGTTTGTTACTTCAGTCTTCTTAGCTCCACAAAGACAAGGGGCTCATGTCTTTTTTTTACCCATCCAGCACTCTGGGGGCAATCCTTAAACTCCCACCCCTAGGGGAAGATCAGCAGGCTGTAGCAAAGGCCTACCTCCTGAATTGCTCTACCCCCTGACTGCCCCCAGGAGTGGGGAGCTGAAACAGAAGTTAAGGAAACAATGAGACAGGAAATCTAAGTCCAATAAAAAAAGTAAGCAACTTTTTAGCCCATTCCACAGAACCACACAGTTCCTTACCCATTCCTGCCCCATAGATCCAAGCCCCATTTCCCTCCCTGCAACTGTAACATTTCCAACCACAACTCTGAGATACATTTTTTAAAAAATTGATAGAAATGGGGAAAAAAATTAGACTTGTACTAAGACAGGAAATCTAAGTCCAATAAAAAAAGTAAGCAACTTTTTAGCCCATTCCACAGAACCACACAGTTCCTTACCCATTCCTGCCCCATAGATCCAAGCCCCATTTCCCTCCCTGCAACTGTAACATTTCCAACCACAACTCTGAGATACATTTTTTAAAAAATTGACAGAAATGGAGAAAAAAATTAGACTAGTACTATAAAGTTTTGTTGACATTCAACCACAAAATTCAGTACAGTACAGATGCATTCACTTTCCACTTTGGATTCCAACTGCACAGCTTATAGTGGTGGAGGTGCTGGGTAAGTGTGTCAGAAAAAGAGGCATGTACTGTAAAATGCTACAGGATTGACAGACGTGCAGAACATGAGAAGCACAAAGATAAGCAACTGGACTCAACACAGCAATTGGGTTCTTCTGGCCAGCACTTAAAGGCCAAAAGTGGGCCTCTCTATTCTCTGTTATTTCCGCAAACATTGTTTAAAGCTTGGAGTTAGAACTGCCACTGTTTTTAACTTGTGCAACTACAGTAACTAAAAACATGAATTTCCTATCTGGGAATGTGAAGGTCCAGGAGGGAAAAGAACCCCCTCCCCTTTCCAAAAAGAAAAAGAAAATAAGGGAAGTCTCCCCCATGTGAACTTTCCATGGGTAACTTGTTGTTATTGTTGCCTTCCCATCTCTATGTATCTTCAAACAAAAGCTGAGGATTTATACCAAAGTACCCCATTACTCTGTACCCATTTTATACCCACATATAAATTATCTTGATCAGTGGTTCCAGGTAAATTCCACAAATCGCATGAGCACAAGATTCTACTGTCAGATTGAACAAACTATTGTGAATTGACTCCATGCTATCAATTAGTGTGAATAAGAAAATGTACTCCACAACTGTGGTAAAGGATCCCCTCTTTCCCATCCCCTAGTGTTGTGCTGTTGAGTCATCAGGCCTGAATAGGCATTATATGATAAATTAAAATCACTAATAAGAATTAGTGGAATATGTAGTTCAAAAGTATGCAGAAACAAGCCAGAAAGAGTAGGAATGTTAAACAATTTTGTGACAGTTGAGTGGAGGATAAGGGCAGAAAAAGTGAACAGAATATGGCTATATTCATGGGGAATAGCAGCAGGTTGCTCCTAATGGCTTTGAAAAAGGGCAATATCTCTAAGCAAGCTGTCTATAAAAGCTAGGGAGCAACTATAGAGGCATCTGTTTTTAAAGCACATGACAAATGCAAGGGAGAAAGGGGGCTACAGGTTGGTGTAATGCCAAGCTGGCAAGGTAGGAAAGAAAAGAGATTCGGATGGGGCTAGTGTGCCTCACCCACACCCAGGGCTGAGCACTAGTCTAGCCCTCATGAACTCAAAGGATATTTACATCTTCTAGCGGAGTCTGCAGGCTCATCCCATTAGCCAGCGTGGTTACAAAATTCTAGGAGAGAGAGAGCAACAAGGGAAATCAAAGTCAATTCAGAGCTCAACGGGAACTGAGCCGGAGACTGGGTCTTGTTAATGGGGCAGTGCAAAAAGGGTGGCTGAGGATACAGGGACAGGACTGAGTTCAGGTAGAGGTGTCAAAGGCAGCACCTGTTATCTTTATCATACATCTCCTTCCAGAGCTTGGTACCAGGTCTAAGGATTGCCATGGCAACATAGGCAGATGCAAGAAACAGAGCAGTTCCCCACCCAATGGTTAGAGAGACAACAGAGCACCTCACCCCCACTACAAGACAATAATACATGCCTTTCTGCTCCAAGGACATCACTGATACAGCAACTACAGCACCCGGAACAAGGATGCCTCCAATCAGAAAAGGCCTTTTATAGGATTATCTCAATCCCATAACAAAAATAGAAAAAAGGGAGCCAAAAATACTAGCTATCCTAGATTATAAAGGATTCTGCTACATACTAATATAACAAAGTGGTGCTAACAAGCTTTCCCAAATCCCCTACTCTTTTTAGTGAAGTTTGGTGTAAGATCAAGATGTCCTGAACTATCTTTCCATGATGGACTGTAAGCAAAGACTCGTCGCATGCTAATAGTGACAATTTAAAAGCAGGGCTGGCAGGTGTGGCCATCCAAATGGACTACAACCCCCAGCGTTCATCACTGTTGGCTTTGCTGGTTAGGAATTGAGAGCTGTAGTCTAAAAACATCTGGAGAGTCACATTTCCCCCATTCCTGGTTTAAAGAAACAGTAGGAAAAAGAGAATGAGCAAGGGTAGTCATTATCAAACAGAATGACCAAGGATGTCTTAAATACACAGTTTAAGACATGCAGGAAAAATTCCAAGAACGTGACAGGGTACTGCCATTCTATATTTCTATATGAAATACTTTCTTGACCAAATCAGGCATGGGGAACCTTTGGCCCTGGAGATAATGCTGGGATTTCTATCAGACCCAGCCAGAATGGCTAACACTGAGAAATGACAGGACCTGTAATTCAGCAACATCTATAGGACCACTGGTATACCCACCTTTGCTCTAGCTCTTTGTACTTTTGCTATTCACTGTCACTATTTATCACAGTTATTTTAAATATGTCCATCAGTTTCAAAAGTCTTTTAATTTTACTGTCATATTCTTAGTCTCTAAATACACAGGACCTATTAACATAAGCTGCCAGCAACCCCCTACTTTTTCCAGATCAGATAAAAGAGGAGATAACTAAATTATCTATCAAAGCAATCCAGTGCAAGTTACCCTCCGGCAAATGATGGCTTCTTTGGCTACTGCTACACCTGCCTCCACTTCCTAAGAGACAAGAACCAGACATCAGATGCTTAGGGAATATAACTGCTTCTGGATGTAGTTAAGGGACAGCATTTAAGAATATCAGATTTGGAACTGAACTGAAATTATCTATTAGAATTTTTAAAATGTAAAATTTGGAAAAGTTATCCTTATAGCCAGTAGGCATGCTGGCTGGGGGAACTCTACAAGTCGCAGCCCTTAAGGGTAACCTAATATCTGCTAAAATGTTAAGGATTAGAGGATAACCAAAAGCACACTCTCCCTCTAGAAAGTAGGCCCTGCTCCCATTCCAAGGCCAGGCAGTGTCCAGGTTACCAAGGGCTTGACTCAGTACAATATGTTTCTTTGTTTAAATTAACACCGCATGGTGAAATAGGCGGGAGAGGTACCAATTTCCGGTAATAAGAAACTTCTCTTTGCTCAGTCACACATCCTTTCCTCCACCCAGCCTCATGCAACTTCCTCTTCAAATCTACTTCAACCCCCCCTTCCCATCCAAATCTTACAAGCCTATTCTTAAAAACTTTGGACATCCAAACATGCTCAGATTTCCCCCCCCCTTTTTTTTCCTCGCACAAATCCCACCAAGCTGACCACAGAAGCACTCAAGTTTTGAAAAGATTTGCTGGCTATTCTTCCAACCTTCAGAAAACCCCAACAATCCACTTTGTGTTCTCCCCCGGCCACCAGCTATTCCTCTTCATCTGTCCTCTTAGACAAGCCAAAGGACACTGTCTCCCCCCCTCCCCGCCCCCAAAATCAACTTCCACGTAACTCAACTGTATCTTTGCAAAAGCGCAGTTTACCCACATCACAAGGGGGGGAATCCTCCTAAGAACAGTCAAACCCCCTACAACAAAATCTTAAAGACCTCCTATCACCAGGACATAAGGAACCTACCAAAGTAAACTGTAACTATCTCTGCAGAGGTCATACCAAATGCTATTTATCAGACAAGCTATAA